ACATATCCACGCGATCCAGAGGGGGATTGCATGCGGGAGTTTCTGAAAACAATCCCTAATGTGATCCCTCCTAAGGCCGCCATAATCCTCTTGCAATCCTTATGTGTTTCCAGGTTCCCTCAGAAGTTTCCTTTGTGAGAACCTCCTCAAGCCTTAGACTCTGAACCCCTTAACCCTAAACCTTAAATCCTAAACCCAAAACCCTGAACCCTAAATCCTAAACCCTGAACCCTTAACCCTCAATTTTAAACCTTAAACCATGTCAAAACACATAATTCTGGCCAGACCTCACGCCCCGGCGCCTGCGGTGGAGGCATGGCTGCTCCAAGTTATATACAGATGATGCACGGTTTTGTAATCATGGGTTCCCTTACTCCCCTCTATACTACCCCCTAAATTCCCCACATAATTGAGGTTATTTAGGGATAATCAAGCTTAATTACGCTTAATTCAGAACCTAGGGCGGGGGCATGGAGAGGGGTAGCAGGGGAACCCATGATATGAGATTGGAAGGGGATTATGGTACTATAGGGTTTCTCGCAGGGGCTATGTGGGCATGCATGGAGAATCAAATGGAAATGCAGATGGACCATCCAATGGAAGCTGCGGTTTATATTGGGGTTGTCTTACTTACATGTGAGTAGGTTTTTTTTGGGATACTATGGTACCCATTATAGAGTAAGATTATATCCTCCTTTTGGGGGGTATAGTATTTTATATAAGGAATGTAATCTTACTAGGTTCAACCACCAAAAAAAACGCTACTCATGCGGTTAAGAGGGAAGGGAGGAATGAAGAATCAACTGGAAACTACTTGGGGGTTTCCCAAATTGGGGGTGCCATTTTGGGGGTCCCCATAATAAGGACTATAGCATTTTGGGGCTATATTGGGGTCCCCAAATTTAGGAAACTACCACTTTAGTATTTGGGATTAAAATCGGGACTGCTCGAAGGATCCTTTCTCTCATCTCTTGCTTACCTGAGCCGTAGTCTAAACTCCTTAAAGGCGGTTATAGGGGATTCTATAGGGGACTTCTATAGGGCTTGTAAGGGGGATACCAGGAGTTTGGACAATGTCTCACCTGAGGCAAGAGAATCCGTGCGATGCAAAAGATGCTCAGAGTCTGCTGCAAAGCTCCCGATTCAGTCCACGTCACTTCATACTAGGCCCGCACTACTACTACATCATAATCCTTATAAACCCTTTATGTACCACCACTTTGCATGTCATTCTTCATGTTTATTCGATTCACCATTGTTGAGGTAAAAACCCTGAACCCTACATATCCCTACATATCCTCATAACACACCCGTTTCTTTGTTTTTTCGTGTTCTTTTCCATCTCATTCTCCATTATGGCGAAACCATATACAATCCCCACATACCGTTATAGCCCATTTCAAGCGACCTAAGGTTTCCATATGGGTGGTTGTCAAAATTATGGTCCCTTTTTTTGGGTGTCCTAAATATTAGGTTTTGTATTCTGAAAGGGATCCGAAAAAGGCCATAATTTTGACAACCACCCAATATCACCCCAGTATAGTAGCTTCCATTTTATTTTCCATTATCCCAATATTATCCCAATATACTACAGTAGTTTCCATTTT